TTTTTGTTACAATATGCATCAGCTAAAACTTATCCACCTTGAACTTGATCCACTACATTGTTGCCCACTCATCCCATTTGTGGAAGTCCTCATGGAGCTCTTCACAGTCAACTTTGGTTTTCACCATCCTGAATAAATGTGTGTCATCTGCAAACCTGGCAACTACACAGCTCCCTGCCTCAGAGGCACAGGCCCCAGTAATGATTTTGCGGGACTCTACTGCTTACTTCCATTGCGAGAACGGCCCATTTATTTCTAACCCCTACTTCCTTTTGATTAATCAGTTTTTAAAAGAGAAGAGGACCTGGTCCTCTTGTTCCATGATTTCTAAGCTTACCTAGGAGTCTATGATGAAGCAATTGATTCACTGGGGAATCCACAAAAGCCCCAATAAATGCATTTAATCATATGCAAGACCAGTCCCCCCCAAGGGATGCCATAAAAAGGGGGGGGTAACTTACATTTCCATACAACTTAGGTTTTTTTTTTGTATATATAGTATCATCTTCCAGCCTCCTTCTCTTCCCCCATCCTACCTCTAAGGATCTCAAGGAGGCACTGCCCCATCCCTACCACTGACCCTGTGAGGTGGTCCAGGCTGAGCAACCGGCCCTGGGTGACCAGACCAAGAGGACAGGTTCCTGAGTTAGGAGAAGGGTTCCCTAAACTTGACTCTCCCAGATTCCCCCCCCCCCACCAGTTTTCATCCCTCCGCATTTCCCTCAGAAGTGGCAGAGCTGAAGGGAAGGCCTGCTGGAGAGGCTGAGGGATGCTTTTTGTCCTCCCACAAGCCCTTTTCTTTCATGGGCTGAGAACAGGTGTGGGGGAGAAGGGAGGTTGCTGTCCCTCACCCTCTCCGACACTCACTCTGCCTCCTGGCTCTGCAGCCGTTCAGACACGCAGCCACAACAGCGGTGCCTTTCCCCCTTCTCTCCTCCACTTGCTCCTGAGGGTGGGATGTCTTTCCCCTTAGAGTGGCACACACAAGACAGCTCAATTGCATCCCAAGCCATGTGCTGGCCCTCCCCCTCCTCTCTCCCCTGCCAGTGCCATCCCTTTGTCAGCACACCGCCTCTTTACATACCCACTCTTGCCCACCTGCCTCACAGTTGCCATTTGGCGCAGTAGTGCCAGTGCTGGCCATTCAGCTCCACCTCTCCATAGTGGCTGTACCAATCCTTCAGAGCAGGCCCGTAGCTAACATGGGGCCCATGGGGCACATCCTCCCTGCTGTTTTTGCGGGCCCCTCCCCCGATCCTCAGCTTTCCCTTCCTCCCTCTGGCCCCTTCACCCCGATTGATCGCCTCACGATTATGAGCCGGCATCTCCCTGCTTGAGCTCATCTGTGATGAGCTGAGTCTCTTTAGGACCCGGCAGCAACCGGTGGTTGACTGAGTCACACACACATTGGTCAGATTGCAGCAGTTTGCTCCTCCTGTTGGATTTTCTGCACCAGGCTTCAGCAAAGATAGTTGGCTCAGGGAAGGAGGGAGGGGAGTGAAGGAAGCTTGATCCCTGCTCTCCTTTAAAAAAAACACGTCAACTTTGCTGGACCTCTGAGGAGCCTTAGTGTCTATTAACATTTATTTATTTATTTATCTTTAGATTTGTATCCCGCCCTACCCCGAAGGCTCAGGGCGGCTAACAAGGGCACTAAGTGCCAAGATTAAAACAATAAAAGCACATAATGTTAAACAGTAAAATACAGTAACAAAATCACAGTGCTCCATTTAATGTCACAAGATGGGGTAGATCTTAAACCCAAAGGTAACTTTCTCGAAATCTATCATCCTTTTCCTAACAGGGGCACCTCGCACCCCCAAAGGGGCCAGATAGTCGTGGTGATGGTGCGACGGTGCATAGATGGCAATAATGGAGTAATAGTGGCAGTGGCTCCTACTCAAAAGCCTGGCGGAAGAGCTCTGTCTTGCAGGCCCTGCAGAACTGAGAAAGATCCCGCAGGACCCGGATCTCCTCCGGGAGCTCCTTCCACCAGGTAGGGGCCGCCCTGGCTCTGGTCACCGCAAATTTAATATCCTTGGGGCCTGGAATTTCCAGATGATGACCCCCCGACTGTAGTACCCTTGGGGGAACATATGGAAAAAGGCGGTCCCTCAGGTAGGCTGGACCCTGGCCATAAAGGGCTTTAAAGGTAAGAACCAGCACTTTTAAGCGAATCCGGTACGCTATTGGCAGCCAGTGCAGCGCTTTCAGCACAGGCTGAATGTGGTCCCTCCTCGAGAGACCCATCAACAACCTGGCTGCAGCATTCTGCACTAGCTGCAGCTTCCGGATTTGCGACAAAGGCAGCCCCATGTAGAGAGTATTACAGTAGTCTAGCCTTGAGGTAACTGTCGCATGGATCACCGTGGCCAGGTCCTCACAGCTAAGGTAGGGGACCAACTGCCGAGCCAGCCGAAGATGATAAAAGGCTGCCCTGGCAGTGGCTGCCACCTGGGCCTCCATCGTTAAAGAGGAGTCCAGGCACACACCCAAACTCCTAACCTCCGACATTGGTACCAAAGGCACCCCATCGACGGTCGGGAGAGGGAGCCCCAACCCTAAGCCGATCCAACTCAGGCCCAGGACCTCCGTCTTTGCTGGGTTTAGTTTCAACTGGCTCAGTCTGAGCCACCCAGCCACAGCCTGTAATGCCCGATGCAGGTCATCTGGGGAAGAGTCTGATCGGCCGCCCAGCATCAGATAGAGCTGGGTGTCATCTGCATATTGATGGCACCCAAGCCCACAACTCCGGGCAATCTGGGCAAGGGAGTGCATGTAGATGTTAAACAACATTGGGGACAGCACAGCCCCGAGGCACCCCACACTCCAGGGGATGTCTCTGGGACTGCTGGTCCCCTATCGCCTATTGGGATTCTGGCTCGCCTCAGAGGAAGGCTCTAGTGGGGGCTGTGTGGGTACGCACCAAGCAGACCCCCCTTGCCCTGGAGCCTTTGATTTAATTAGCTGGCCCCCTCCCCAAAAAACCCCCTAGCTACGGGGCTGGATCAGAGGAGGTGGGAAGGAAAAAATACCACACTTCTGTTTTCACCTCCACCTTTGCTGCCACTCCCATTTTACCTTAGCCTCAGTCCTGCCCCCTAGCCATTTCCTTTATACTTCTTGACAGCTCTGACCACACACCTGCTCCCTCTAATTTGTGGAGTCTTGTGAGCAAAAATTCTACTTTGTGAGCTACTGGCATCGAAGTTGTGAGCAAGTGATTTGGCTGTTGCATAAATTAGTTTGCTCTGGAGCCATCCTTCCTGAGCTAAGACAAAAATGTGTGAGCCAGAGGCTAAAAAACTGTGAGCTAGCTCACACTAGCTCAGCTTGGAGGGAACAGTGCTGTCCATATGTCTGTAAGTCTATACTGTCCACAGAGAGGTCTTACTGTCTGTAAATAAATAAATGTCATCTGGGGTAAAACATCTGATTATTGTCTTCAGAGACCTTAGCTTGGACTTTCTACACTAAACAAGTTGGGTGCTAGTTATGATGTAGAAATTTGCTAATTTCTGCAGTTAAGTATCAGAATGATATCTTGGCAAATACATCATCCACCCTCCAGAGATATATTTGTTGTGGTTTTAAGTCAACGCAAAATAGCTTGGTGACATGTCTACAAGCCACAGACCTAGAATATCCAGATTATTGGTTACCTGGTACTGCACAGAGAATTAAGACTAACTTTCTCATAAAAGCAACACTTCTGGAATGAGGCTTAGATACTATCTTGCTGCTTATCCTCTTTTTTTTGTCTTCCAGAGGTGTTCCCCTGCTGCAGGGGCACATTTCCTCTAGAGCTAGGTACTTCTTCTAATCAAGCGAAACCAAAGTCTTTCAAGCAGCTGAAAAGTGCCAGA